GAATCCGAAAAATCCATATGTTGAGGTGGACTCATCAGATTCGAATCTGTGGCAATTAATACACCAGGCGGAAATCTTAGTTCAAAGATAAAGAACAGAGCCCAGCAAATAACTTTAAAGCCAAACATAATAAAAGTTAAAGCTAGATTACAGTCCATTACATACAAGGCCAGAAGCTCAAAAGGAACGTTGAAGCCTAATCAAGTTTCAGATTGAATCCGAAAAATACATATGTTGAGGTGGACTCATCAGATTCGAATCTATTTAAGATTTTGTCAAATGAAACTGAAAATCGATAATCGGATTTGAAAATTCAAATCTGGATTGCACTAAAGGAACGCTCCCTACGATTATCCATTTTCTATGGGTCACGTGACCAGCTCCGACCAGGGTTTTTTCTTCATAAGAGGGAAGAGCCTGGGAACGAGGTTGGCTGCATTTAACGATATTTAACTGCATTTAACGATATCTATGTTCGCACAGTATCGGACAAATACGTAAATTCGTTCAGTTCCATTTGTTACACAGGAATTCCTAGGGTTAGCTGTGTTTGAATTTGTCCAGTTTCATGGGTCCAATGTGAACGCATAAGGTGATAGTCGTGAAATTGTGAGTATGGTTCAGAATTCGTTCAGTCCGGTGTGAACGAGGGTCGATTGGGTCATAATCATACCGATCATGTCCAAAAGTAAATATTATAGAATCTATTAAATATTTTATTAAAATTTAATCATTAATTTTGTTCAATTTTAAGGCTGTGCTTGGAAACGTTCCAACTCGTCATTTTTATTTTCCCTACGCAACAAAGACAACCTTGCTCCATTTATTGCCAACATCAAGGAAGGTCAGGAGCAGTATGCAATCATGTGCAGCTCTGGTTATGGACCATTCTTCGGTGCAGGTTATGATCTGATTATTTGTAACAATCCTCAAGTTAACCAATCACACAGCAATTTTGGACGCACATATCAACTTCCCCCTGGTTATGGTTATAGCAAAGCAAATAACCTTCTTGCTGGTCAGTACCAATTCTTAACGACAGAAATTGAAGTCTTCAACTGAAAAGTGCCTTTGTTTACTTACTTCAACGAAAAATAACATTACATTGATTACGAACGCTTTTAGCAATCACTTTTGGACAGTGATTTTGCAATGTTATAAAATTAAAATTGGTCGTTCGCCTCAACAGTAGCAGTTACTGGAGTCAACAAATGAAAGGCCTCGAAGAAAACTTGTGAAAAATCGATTGTTATACAGCCGACGGTAATCAATGATCTAATCAGCATATAGCCTAGGTAAATGTTCGAAAATTGGAACAACATTTAATTTTCGATCGACCACTTTAAATCGGATTGCATCTGACCATTTTTCATCACAATGACATAAGAACGGTGTCATTTGGCAGCTAAAACCTATCTTTATCATTTCTCGAAAAGTAAATCTATAAGCTTAGTATCTATAACGCACGATAACATGCTGAAATTGTTTTACCTTTTTTGATACACCCTGCACTATACATGTTGAAGGGTTTTCGAGATTTCCATCTACAAAAAAACCATTCAACATTTAATACTGACTGAGATGCCTGAAATCCTGATATTTACCCATATACCTAGATGGAAATCTCGAGTGTAAATTTTATACGTTTATACACCAAACCAGGAGCAGCTGCAAAAAATGGAACTATATAGACCCTCTGGCAGGAATCAAACCTGCGACCCTGCGATTCCGGTGCAGCGCTCTAACCAACTGAGCTACAGAATGCGCTACAGAAGAGCTACAGAATCCACTTGTCGAGTTTTAACCACAAGTTCATGTATACAGTACATACTACGTAATGACAGTGTAAGGCAAAAACCCTTCAAGATTTAGTATCGAGTGAGGTGTCCATGCACAATCCGCATTATATATGTACCTTTTTTCCTTGATCATGATATAGTCGTAATCAATTACTTGTAAGCTTTCTCAGTAATTCTTATATATGTACATATTCAATGTATCATGAACATCATGGCCGCCGAGAGGTTCAACGCTGAGCCCGGGCCAAAACTTTTCAAAGATGTCACAATTGTAAAAGAGGAGAAGCGTGTTTTACCATAGATCACAATTTATTACATTTTTGTCTGACACTAAAGCAGCTGGATTTATATTCTCAGTAGCAATCTTGTATCCAGAAATTTTAAAGGCCTTCGTTGCTTTGGGGGCCTCTTTTGATTTTGGGGCTCGGGGGCCTCTTTTGGTTTTGTGGCCCCCAACCCCTCTCGGCGGCCCTGATTATAAACTATTGCTTTGAACTGATTTATACTGTACAGATCGTGTAAATATTTTACAAGGAATCAAATTTCAAAAACCCAGTGGTTTCTATAGTAGGCTCCTATAAAGGTATGTTAGATTACTTTAAATCATAATGATTCTTATTAATGTTGTAATTGCCGAAATAAATGAATAATCGAAATGTCAAAAACTATTATGCTTGGCCATAATGTTGTTTAATCCATGTCTTGGATTGCTCAAGATGTTTCATTCAGACATTGTTCGTTTTAAAAAGTGCCGTATTACTCCCAATATAAGATGGGCTTCCACGCAGACGCGCTTACATATGACGGGCGATTGCATACGAAAATAATTTTGTTTTCGTAAGTGTACTCTAAACTATACAGTGAAATAACATTCCCTTGTCAAATCAACGTAACATCATTGAAAGCATTTTCCCTTTTCAATTACTCAATTTTAACCTGCGCTGTTGGACGTAGTTTAATTTGGGTATTTGGAGGTATACGGTAATACAACTTCCGTAATACAATTCTTATTTGAGCATTTTTTGAGACACAGATCAGTGGCCATGCAACAGGTCATGCCCACTGATCGACAGGGTAAAATAATAAAATCGGATCATTTGGGAGCGTTGCCGCTCAATGGGTTACTAAATGAAGTGTGAAATAAAAACCGAAAATGAGATCATCTTAAAAATAAAATTTTTTAAATATTTACTATAATACCAGATGTAGTACTTTTTTAGTTTCAGAGTGTTACATTTACTGGAAATGACCATTTTATTTTGCATACCAGCCTGATCGCGGGCTAGAGCGAATTCTTCAAATTTCGCAATTTTCAAGGAATCCAACACTTTCACAAAGATTTTTATTTGCGATCGTTTCGTTGGAAAGAAGACACAAATATGTTATCTAAATTGTGAAGTAAGAAAGATTTAATTGAAATGGCAAGTGCTTCATCAGAAAGTGTTCCTGTTGATGAAATCAACGAACTACTCACATGTTGCATGTGTTTGGAAACTCTGCAGGAACCACGAAGCTTAGCTTGCTTTCATAATTTTTGTAAAGTCTGTTTAGGTGAGTACTATTTTCGTTGTTTACATGATCTACTTGGCAAATGTATGTCTTGGTACCATGACTAGGAATATATCCTTATTCTGTCATGGTTATAATCGTTTATATATTGACGACCTTGTTTACAAATTAATGTAAATTTGCCTGCCAGTATGTGCCAGGCAAATTTACACTATCACTATTTCGCGCATATTACTTATAGTGCACAATATTGATAGCAAATTTACACTACCAGTGTGCACTATCAGTACTATGCGCGGACATAACTTTTGAATAGTCTTGCGACATGATCAATGCGTGCTATTACAAGCTGCATGCATTCAAAATAGTATGTGCGCATTTTGGCAGGCAAATCATGTGCACAACTACCCTGGATTCCAGAGCCTTCGACAGTAAATAATAAATTGAATTATTATACATTTAATATGTATTCTCGTTTCTAATTGGTCAGAAAGCACCGGCTAATTTTCAGTATTCGGAATTTATTACGTATTTTCCGCCGATTACGTCATCAGCGTCCAATAATTGTTTTTTTGGATCGAACTTGCATCCAAAAAAAAAATTATTGGACTCTCTCG